ATATACACAATGGAATATTACTCAGCAATAAAAGAGAATAAAATCATGGCATTTGCAGGTAAATGGATGGAGTTAGAGAAGGTAATGCTAAGTGAAGATAGCCAATCCCCCCCCCAAAAAAAAACAGATGTGATACAAGGAGGCTGATTTATAGTGAGGTATGGAGGGGGAGCATGGGAGGAATAGACAAACTTTAGATAGGGTAGAGGGGTTGGAGGGGAAGGGATGGAGCATGGGGTTAGAAATGATGGTGGAAAGTGATGGTCATTATTATCCAAAGTACAGGTATGAAAACATGAATTGGTATGAATATACTATGTATATAACCAGAGATATGACAAATTGTGCTCTATATGTGTAATATGAATTGTAATGCATTCTGTCATCATATATAAATAAATAAATAATTTAGAAAAAGATACTTTTAATTACTGATTTCATTGCTTAACTCTTTTTTTTTCATATTCATGAATTGTGTTTAATAAATTAAACTACATATATTTGGGGCATACATATGATGTTTTGACAAAAAATAACTAACATTTGATCTAGCAATTACTGTGTACACAGCCAAAGAAAATAAAATCTCTGATCAAGTTGATTTTAAATAATTCTTCTAATCAAACAGGATGATCTTTAATGTGCTATCTTCAAACCAACTGAATCTTTCTTTTGCCAAGAAAAACTGCAGTTGATATTCTCCAAAGTCTATTTAATTTTAGGCATTTAATTTTTGAACTATAAAATTTCTATTTGTACCTTTAAAATAATGTCTCTCTCTTTCTTAATATCCTTCTAGTTTCTGACAGGACCAGAGGAGCACTCCTTCAATTTTACAGTTTGTAATGCTGCCTATTTTAGATTCTCTAAATAAGGACAATTAGTTCTTTAAATTAAATTTCTTATAATTTCATCTTTTGTGTAGCTTGCAAATATAACTAATATTACTAAAATCATACAGCTAGAAGGGCCCATTTTTAGGCTCCCAATGAAAATATAACAAATTTTACTGAAATTAAAAAATTAAAGACCCCATTTCAAAATAGCCAATGAATTAATGTTGCACTTTAATGAAAGCTAACAATGCAAAATGTGGCAGATATAATGACATAATATCCAGTTCTTTCATAAGAAAAAACAGATTAGTAATTATAGTTTTATTAGAGATAGAGCATTAGTTTTAACAGATTTGGTATTTCATGGGAAAAAATTATAAAAACACTAAAATAAAGATGTTTTTGAACTGTATTTTGGGTAGAAAATCAGAAAAAAATATGTTCTTTGGGCAAAAGTGGAGAAATTTTTTGGAAATAAAAGGAATGATAATTAAAAATTATTAATAAAGAGCTATATATGATAGATATAATTTGTGTATATTTAATTGTAAGAGAGAAAAAATCTATAAGGATGAATACATATAAAATACTCTAAGAAGTGATTTTTAAATGTCAGGATAGAGAGAGATGACCAAAGCACACTGCAACTTTGAACCAATCACTCTGTCTATAGGATACCTTTACAATTCCAGCTATATCCGTCACAGCAGTAGATCTTCAGTCATAAATACAGGAAAATCCACACTCTTCAAAGGCATTAATTGCAGTTTGGGGTGACACCTAGGGTCAGCACAACTGTACAGAAAAGAAAGATCTGACATTGTGACCACCAAAATCCAAGCTTGCTACAGTACCCACTGTTAAAGTCCATCCTCTCAAAGGGCCAAAAATACATTCACTGATGCTGCCAAAGGTGTTGTGTCAGTGCAAAACTCATAAGATATAGAATAAGTCTTTCAGATTTATGTGATTGTGGAATAATTATTGCTGGTACCACAAGCCATAGTGTCATTTTTGCTTATCCTACAGAATCTAGGATTAGTCACTCTGCAGTCCACAGCCCTAAAACTATGGCTGCTAGTGCCCCAAATATCCTTATTTATCCATGCTCTCACCATGAGACCTGAATCATGTCCACTCTGGTTCCTGTAGTTTCAGCTCCATGGATCCCAGTACCCCAAGTCTCGGTGCTACCCACACTTGCCCCATGGTGCCTAGAAATGATACACTAAGAATTACAAAGCTTTGGGACCACATCTTCCAGTTCTACAAATCCTGACATGACCTGCAGTTGCACCCATGGGAACTGGGGAAGGTTTCCTTTGTGACCCATAGACTCAGGACCAAGATTGTCATTGCATAGATCCAACATCCTTAATCTTATGAGACCTGGGGAAGAACATTTTCAAGTTTTGTGGAACTAGGTCCTTGGCTATTAGCAAAATAATCCCCAATATCACAATGTTTGCCCCATATGACTGGAGGAGTTCTCTGCACCTCATAGCACCAGGACTTTGGCTACCATTACATGACCCAGTGTCATTGGTGCTTGACTCTACAGAGCATGAGAAAATGTACCCTTGTAATCATATGAACACTGAAAAGTGACATCAATACCTTCACAAACTTATTCACTATAGACTAATGAGGCACTTAAAGACATTGCTGACATTGGTTACAAGTGAAGAAATCACAGACCTACACTTATTTGCTTACCTAGAAGTAAAGCCAAAGCACTTACTCAACAGACACACTACATTCCTTCTCCTACAAAAGCTACCCTTGGGGCTGGGGATGTAGCTCAGTTGGTAGAGCACTTGTCTTGTATGCACAAGGCCCTGGGTTCAATCCCCAGCACCACCCAAAAAAAAAAAAGAGAGAAAATAAAAGCTACTCTATAAAATTGAAAGAGTTGACTATTAAATAAGATACACAGACATCAACATAGGAATAGAAGAAGTAAAGAAAGCAAGCATCACAAATATAAAATAACAAAACAAGCCTTCAGAAATAGATCCCAATTAGAAGAAAATCTACATAATACCTAAAAAAAATAATGCTTCTAATGAAACTCAGTGACACATAAGACAATACAGGTAGAAAATACAATTAATAAAATTCATAAAATAAATGAGAAATACAAAAAAAAGAGAGAAATCATTAAATGAATTAACAACAAATGTGGAGTTGACAATTTCAATTAATTAAATTAAAAAGACTTTTGAAAGCTTCTATCCTGAACTAGACCAAACAGAATAAGAATTTTGAATGTGAAGAGAGGTCTTGAAATAAACCACTGAGACCAAAAGAAGAAAAAAGAAAAAATAAATGGAAAACAACAAAGAATACCTATGACACATTCTTAAGTATAAATATTTACATTAGGGAGTTTCTAGAAGAAAAGAGAAAAAGGAATTGGGAACCTACTAAATGCAATAATCACAGAAAACTTTTCATACCTTATAGGAAATGGATCTCCATACCCAGAAAACTCAAAAGACACCAACTAGACTCAATTGAAGGAGGCCTTCTTCAAAGCATATGATAGTCAAACTGAAAAGTTCAAGAGAGAATTATAAAAAGAGCCAGAGGGGGAAAAATGTTAAATATGAAGGAATTGCCACTAGACTAATAGTACATTTCTCATTATAAACCTAACAGATTAGAAGAGAAAATGAAAATATGCTTAAAATTATGAAAGAAAAAACAAATCTGCCAACCAAAATTATTATATCCTTCTGTTAAGGGGCCAAACTGTATGGGCAGTGACCAAACAGACTCCATTTTGTCCTGAGAGTCTATATGATGTAAAAAATGCTTCTGCCATGGGAAAGCCCTGCCTCTGTACCCTAGCATAGCATACTTGGTAAAACAAAATGGCAATTTTTATACAATGTCAAATTGTATTCTCTCTTTGGTTCCAATTTTTATTGGGTAATGAACCCTGTCAGAGATTGACTGTCTAAATGTTAGTAAATTTTCTCTAATTTTTACTCAATTAGGATCATTTTGATCAACTTTCCTTCTGCCTGCTTGCTGCTATGCAACCTGGAAAGTCCCCATGGGAAATACAAATGTAACTATTGCATTGTTTCCCTGTTTGATTCTGTTTCTGTACCCTTGCTTGCTTGTAGCTACGTCAACCTGGATGTTTATTTTGCTGTTGTTGTTTGTTTGGTTTGTTTGTTGTTTTTGTTTTTGTTTTGTTTTTATTTTCCTTTAAATACCCTAAAATGTTGAAGCTCAATGCTTTTTCCTGCAGATAACTTGGTCCTGTAGAAAGCAGTCCCGGCCAGTGGTACAATAAAGAATCTTCAATTTGAACAAAACTGGGACTTGGTGTGTTTTCTGAGCAACTTGCCCCATAACACTTCCAAGCTGTAATTCAGAAACAAAGGATAAATAGTAATTCTTCAAAAAGGAAAATTTAAGGGAATCCTTCACCACCAAGAAATGACTACAATAGAAACAAAAGGATAATTACTACTATCATAAAAACATGCAAATGAACAAAATATACTATTGGAATACATTTTCAAAAGAGAAAGAAAATATGAATTTTTCATGTCATAAAGCCTCAAAACCACTTAGATAAATAATGAGAGTTAGAAAGAAAGGAGGAATACACAAAAAATCAGAAAGCAATTAACAAAAGTAACAGGAATGAGTTCATACCTATCAACAATAATCTATAATGAAAATGTACTCAATTGCCAAATCAAGACATATACACTAACTAAATGAGTAGACAAACAAAAACAAAAAAGAAGACCTGAGTTAGAATGTAGCTTAGTGGTAGAGTGCTTGCCTAGCATGCATAATGTCCTGGGTTAAATCCAAACACCATTACCACCACTAGAGTAAAGCAAGGATATACTGCTCACAAAATAATGTACTATACTGATATAGATGATCAGACTGAAAGTGAAGGGTTGGAAAAACTATACCACTCAGGGGCTGGAGTTGGAGCTCACTAGTTCAGTACTTTCCTCAGTTTATGAGGCCTGTAGGTTAGATACCCAGAACAACAACAACAATAATAACAAAAATATAACAAAACTCAAAACCCACAAATGATGGAAATAAAAAGCAAGGAGGAATAACTATGTTCATACTAGATAAAAGAGGCTTTAACTCAATTATTAACAAATGTAAAAAAGATGCAAAAAAGGTGATTATATGTTGATAAAAGATCAATTGGGTAAGAATGTACAATAATTATAAAGATGTATGCAGCCAGGCATGATGGTACATGCCTATAATCCCAGCCAC